CCCCAAAAAAAAAAGGGAATTTTTCCATTTGAAATCTGGAGAGATCCGTTGATAAAATTTTAATAAAAGGCACCATCTACAATTGACTAATTTTGCAATTAAAATAAGCATGGAATGCCCTGTATTCACTTCCACTGCTACAAATCTGGAATTACAAACTGTACATGAGTTCCTAGTAATCATCAAAATTTACCTATGGATCATACAGTGAACCGATGCAACATTTTATCATTTCCATCCTTGACAGGGGCAGGCCTGTGCAATCCTTGATAGGTTCATCACTGTTTAGCAGCTTGTGAGGATTGGCACTGCTGGAGTTCTTTACAGCGTCAATGCATCACCCACTAAAGCAAGATTGATGCTTTAGGACCAACAGGGGTACAAGGCATTGGTAAGACTAGAAGTCACTCGGGTCTACTAAAGGAATTTATCTTGTATGTAACCTCATCAAGAGAGTTCAAAATTTTGTCACCAGTTGTAGGGTTTATGTGCTTCTTCTTACCTTCAGATGCAATAGATCAGATTAGCAAACCAGTGATGCAAAGGAAGGTCTCACTTCTTCTCAGTGATTTGATTTTGCACTATTAATACTGAATATGCACTTTTGATCTCTGGTGAAGCAAGTAGGTCTCCAATCAGTCCAAGCTCAGGCAACTCAACCCATTCTTCTAAACCTGATGTGAGCATTGAACTTTTGTGACGTCTGCCAACCATTACAAGGTCATAATCATCTCCCATCGATTGAATTATCAAAGCCATCTCTGAACCATCTCTCACTGTCTTCTCTGTATAAGTTATATTAGCATACCCTCCATTTCCATGTTTTATGTCTTTCAAGAATTCATTATCAAGCACATCATCCCATTCACTGCTACTGTGATCTTCTGGGATAAACCTAATTACTGTTACCTGAACTGTTGCACATCCTGCTATCCGTTTGGCATAAGCCAGGGCCTCCCTGTCATCTTCACCTCCCAAGTAAAGCACTGCTATGCAGTATATGGATAATTTTGTAAACAAGGTAGACGAGCCACTTAAAGTGCACCGATCAACAAGGATCCCCACAGAACAGGGGGCCTTATCCAATACATTAATGTTGATGTTCCTCAGAGCACTGCTGTCTACAATCAAATCCCCTTTGAAATTCCATCTCCTATGAAATGGAACTGTTATTAAGGATATTGGCTTCTCGAAGGCCAGCCGACAAATGACCTCATGCATTAGAGCTGCAGGGGATATTGCTGTGAAAACCTGAAGATTGGCCAACCCTAGATTTTGTAACTTGAAATAATTGAAAATACTGAAGATTGGTTGCCAGTGCTCAGAAGACGAATTTTTTTTATACAATTGGTGATTGATGAGCATAGGAGTGGCTCCACCAGTGAGTTTTTTCAGATAGAGACAATAAGTGGACAATGGGCTTTCTTTTGTAGGATTAGAAATCTCCAATAGCTTCACTGCAGCTATAGCATCATCTTGCTTGAATGAACAAACTAGCATGCAGAGTTCAACATTCTTTGGACATTGCAGGATATTTCTTTTATGGTAGCTTGTGTATCTCTGTGAAGGATGCAACTTTCTGACCAGGAAGGGGATAATTGCTGATATTGTGAATATTGTCAAAATCACCATGGTAAATGCTGCAGTAGTATTCATCTGTGAGATAGAGATAAAAAGAGTGAGTGATAGGCCTCTTCGACAAGAACCAATTATTTAGCATTAGAGAAGGCATGCTTTTTGTACCTGATGATCATCAGAAAGATCCACAACCATGCCCAATTCCACAATACCTTTAGCACACAACATTAATCCAAGCGCAGCCGTATCCTTCATAGGCATCTTGAAGCAGGTTGCAATAGCCATAGTCACTATTATCTTGACCACAAGACCAGAAACCGCCTGTGGAATTATAGATAGCACCAACCCTTTTGATAGACTCCATAGATTTGTTTTTAATCCACAATAAATGGACAGGAGTGGTATAAGCATTCCCGAGACCATGGCATCAAATCTCTCTACTAGCGTTGATGCTAATGGAGACCATGATGGAATGGCAAAACCAAACACAATAGATGTAAACACAAAATGCAATCCAACAATGTCAGTGAGAACTGCCATAAACATCACTGCTACCATGATAAAAATGGTATAACTTTCCTTGACGGGTTTCATTTCTGGTGTTTGTTTGATGATCCAGTACATGATTGGCCTGACAATCACCACCACAAACAGAACAAAAGTGAGAGCAAAAATGAATGACCCTAATGGCACATGCAATGAGGCATTTCCCTCAGCTCTTGCAGAATTGGAAAGTAATAAGCCTGTCACATCAGCTATCTCACAGATCAATGAGGAAGACAAAGCAATGCATCCAAGCTCGGTGTTGATAATTTTGAGATCCATTAAGAGGCATGCAACAACTGGAAATCGGGTTGTTGATATCAGTGCCTTGTATACTACAGTCCAATCTTCAAAACTTTGCCCACCATCAAAAAGTGTTATCACAACCCAAGGAGTTAACATGCTTGCACAGCCTATAACCCAGGGTATTGCTCCTGACTTTTTTAGCAGGCTTATATCCATCTTCACTCCAATTAGGAAGAGAGAGAATAAGAAGCCAAACCTCACCAAGGTAGATAGCAGTCTCAGAGATTGTGAAGAGAACAGAGCTTGTGACAAACTAGGGAAATATTCACCCAATACAGTTGGTCCTAAAATTATTCCAGTCTGTTGAACACAAAAGTACAAAAACATGCATCAATGTCACTAATCCATCAATATTTTAAGAGACAATAAACAGGAGTAAATCTCTTGTCCTCTATGGAAATGGGTTAGAAATTCATCTCATGCATTGTGAAGGGTTCATCATAAAAGGCAAAAACTTCTCACTTCTCTCATTACTATGGAATCTCAAAGACTTTCACCTCTATTTTTCAGCATTGCAAAAGCCCTACAAAATTCTATGATAAACCCACAATTCAAACCAAATATCATGACAGAAACCGGCAAAGAGAGCAAGAATTGGGCATTCATGCATACCATTAATTCTGAAACAAGTCGAGGCAGATGCAAGCGTCCGAGGAAAAAGTGCATTGAAGATGTCAAGATGATCATCAATGCTAATTGAATGTGTAGACGAAGCAACGCGTGCCCAAACATATATTCTCCAGGTTTTAGGTTCCATATCCCTTCTGAATAAACAGGGATGAATCTCCAGCAAGACCCATTGAATCTGAAAGCTTCTTCGGTAATGTTACCGGCCATGGCTGAACCTTTCCCCAACCCACAAAGGATAAACAAAATGAATAGCTTCAAATAACCCAGAAGCCAGGAGGAAGGGAAGAAGACCAAAGAACGAAGAGAATGATGATGGAGATAGGAAATACCCAGAAGAGGAACAGCCATTTTGGAGAGGATTATGGAATTGGATGTTATTTTTCTGTTGGAAACAAGTAAGTCTCGATGGGGCTTCTTTTTTTCCTTTCTGGCCACCATAACGGCATAACCGTAAGGTTTTCGGTTGGATTGCCACTTTACTTTCTGTCACCAAATATTCGTAAAATTTTATAGATGCAAAAGGGAAACGAATAGAGAATACATAAAAATGTTTTCTAGGAAAATTAAAGTGTCCGTATAATTTAAATACACAATTTAAATTATTAAATAAAGTAGTCCTAATATTAGAGTTTTCTCTTTATTTAAAATTCGATAAAAAAAATTAAGAAAAAAGGCATACAAAATGAAGTTTCGATTAAGTTGTAGTCTTCAAAATTTACATAGTCTTGTCAAATGCAAGTTAAGTCGAGCTACATTCTAGTTTTTATTTCATTTGTAATTAATTTGAGTTGTCTAATGTATGAAGGTAAGTCTTTGCCTTTAATAGTAAATTTAAAAATAAAACTAAAGTTAATTTCAAATTTAGTTTCTCAAAGCAGGGGGTTGGTTTTTTTTTTTTTTTTTTTAAATATTGATGATAAGATTTGAACTCCACATCTTTAATTCTATCCTGAGAAGTTCCACGTCTCTAATTCTAACATGAGAAGTTTTTTATAAGGAGGGGGTTTGTTTTTTTTTTTTTCTCTTTCTTTTGTAAATATTGATGATGAGATTCGAACTTTACATCTTTAATTCTAACATAAGAAGTTTCGCATCTCTAATTCTAACATGAATAGTTTTTTGTAAGGAGGAAGTAATCACTAAATTACAAAAACATTCTCTAGAGCATATGGTTGTTTTGTTAATAATAGAAAGAGAAATGATATATTATATGATAATCATCTTACTATGCTATTGGTAATGTTTTCCTATGATGATTATATTTGTTAATTTCTAATGAGCCTATCCACTTATTTACCCAAAAGAAGTTAGTAAGAGCAAGATATAATCTAAAAAGATGCTTGTATTCCTACTTCAAGATACAATTACAATTTTGTAGTAAGGATGTGTACATAAAATTTGGGAAGAATGCAATTGGCTGGTAGAAAATGGGCATCTGATGAAAAATCCCCTTTACCATTATGCAATCTCTTCATCAAGATGCCATTGTCGCAATGAGTCCCTATTTTCTTCTACTTTTTTCCATTTTTCCTTCTTGGAATTTCAACCTCTAATTGCATGCATTTTCTCCTTGATTGGCTTTGTAGAAAGAGTATCAAACAATGAAATTTGATATACACATCCGTGGAAAGCCATAATCACTAGGGCCATTTTAAGCAATGACGTGTGAGCTCAAGAATGAAGGTTCTTATTTTCTTGAGTATTGTACTCACCCCTTAATGATTTGCTGTTGCACCACTAAGACTGAAACTGTACTACTTATATCTGAAGAAACTAGAAGGTCCCCAATTGGCCCCAGCTCTGGCAACTCACTCCATTCAGATAGACCTGCTGTAATTCGTGAGCTAGATTCATGGCGTCTACCCACCAAGATTAGATCAAAGTTGTCGTTTTCCAGTATTGACCCAATAAATGAAGTTGTGTAGGCACCATCTTCAACATTCACATCCTCATACGTTATATTTTCATTTTTGGAGGCCTCATACTTAAATTCTCGCAATGCTTCAAGATCCAAGATATTCTCCCACTCCTTTTTGTTATCATCATTCAATGAAATTAATCTGAAAATTGTTATGTGAACAGCAGCACGTCCTATCATCCTACGAGCAAGAGCTAACGCCTCTCTGTCATCATCACCTCCTATGTAGATCACGGCTACCTGATAACTTAATGACGATGCTAAAATAGATGAATATCGTGCTCTGCTACGATCAATTAGAATGCCCACAGAACAAGGGGCCTTCTTCAGAACATTGCTGTTCAGAGTCCTCAAGTCTTTGCTATCCGCAATCATCATTCCCTTGATATTCCATTTCTTATGAAATGGAAGTATTATCAAGACTACTGAATTAGCAAAGGCTACCCAGCAAATGTCTTCATGCATCAGTTTGGCAGGCGATATTGCTGTAAAGACTTGCACGTTTACTAGCTTCTTATGCTGTAACTTGAAGTAATTAAAAACGTCAATGATGGGCTGCCAACGAGATCCATCAGAACAAGAACTCTTCTGGCCCAGTTGGTGATTGAGGAGGAGAGGAGTGGATCCACCTTTGAGCTCTTCCAAGTATAGCCCACAGACAGAGATTGGACTTTCTTTAGAGGGATTGGAAATTTCTAGCAGTTTGATAGCTGCCAAGGCATCATCTTGTCTTTGTGCACAAGCAAGTACTCGAAGACCATCACTAATACAAGAGTTCAAAATGGTTCTTTTTTGGTAGCCAGCGTATGTGTTCGAAGGATCGTGAAGCTTTCTGACTAGCACTGGAACAACTGCCGCTACTAAGAGGACCACTAAGGCTGCCATGGTGTACTGGTCACTAGGGGCTACCTGAGACAGAGCAATCAAGAAGGTAAGATAGGATCGCAGAGTTAAGGGTTTGGTCCAATGAAAAACATAGGAAAGGTCCTTAGTCCTTACCATCTTGTCAGAATTGAAGGAGATTATGGATAATTCAACAGCGCCTTTGGCTGTCAATATGAGTGCAAGAGCAGCAGCATCTTTAGGAGGCATCTTGAAACAAATTGCAGACAGAAAGCTTGCGGCCACTTTGACCAAGAAACCAAAGGTAGATATATAAACAAAAAACGCAGGTGGCCTACTTTTTAATTCCCACAGATTTGATTTGTATCCACAAAGGGTAGACAGGAGTGGCAGCATCAAGCCCGAGATGATGGCATCTAATTTCTCTACCAGGGCTGATGCTAAAGGAGGCCCTGTTGGCACTGCCAACCCAAGTATAAAAGGTCCATACAAAAACTGCAACCCCACATTCTCACCAGTTATTGCTACCAACAACAACACCAGGAATATAACGTAAACGTAAGAATCCTTTACAGGCTTCCCTTCAGGTGTTCTTCTGATGATCCAAAACATCATTGGGCGCAAAACAGCAAGGATAAAGACCACAAGAGTGATAGAAAGAAACATAGACTTCAATGTCACATGTAACGATGACAATTCCAATAGGTGTGACCAAGCCTGCAAATTTATCACGACCAAACTTATCAGGTCAGCGACCAGGGCTGATGATAGAGCAAGATGTCCCAGCTCAGAGTTGATGATCCTGAGATGCATCAGAAGGCAGGCCACCACAGGAAATGAGGTGATCATTAGCGTGCCAGAAATGATAAAAACCCATGTTATTTGGAGATTGCTGGCATTGTCCCTTTCAACGCCGATGTATTTAGCAACGGGCACGTTCACACAAAATGCGAATAGACAGGTTATAGAGCCTATCGTCCATCCTCTTTTACCTGATTTCATCAGCTGCTTAACATCCATCTTCACTCCGATCATAAACATAAAAAACAAATACCCAAACTTCGTGAAGGTAACCAGAACTTTGAAAGACGACATCGGAAACAAAGTACGTGGAATATTAGGATAAAACCGTTCCAGAAAAGAATGTCCAAGAAACAGGCCTACCTGGCATTCACACAACATCAACGATGATCCCTCATCCCAGTCAGTACTATGAACAAACACAACATGGGCATCCATTTTTATACCATGCAATTTAATGGAAACAAAGGAAACGAGTTTCCCATGAGATTATTACAAAAGAGAGTTCAGAAAAAGTACCAGAAATTCAGAGACGAGACGTGGAAAATGGAAACGCCTGAGAAAAAAGTGTATGGTGCTGGTGAGGATGAAGATTACGGCCAACTGAATTTGCAGAAGAAGTAGGGGATATTGCGCGATGATATTTTCCCCAGGTTTTAAGTTCCAAAACCCATCTGAATTAACCGGGAGAAATCTCCAGCACGATCCATCGATCCTGTATTGAGGTTCCGAGACAGGATCCATGGCTTAAAATGGCCAACGCCACAAACAAGACAGCCGCCACCTTCCTTAAAACCGAGAAACTTTTCGAGAGAAAACGAAGGTTATCAACATAACTTCAGAAGGAAAATGAAATGAGAAAAGCGAAGAAAATCTGGAAATTGAAAACGCAGGCCCCTTGGTTTCGGAAAAGATCAGTGGAGAATGAAAATTTCAATTTTTAGAAAACAAATTGGTTTTCAGACACCTGTGGCGTACTTGTCTCCTCAGTTGTTAGTGCTATTAACGGTTGTTAGTTATATGTTTCCTTTCCTTCTTTTTGGAGTAGTGATTTAGAAGAGGAAAATTTCATATTTTCATGTACCCCAAAAAAAAAAATAATAATAAGGAGAGGAAAATTTGGGGACAATAAATGTACCATAAGCCATCTTACCACGCTTGTGAATAAAATTAAAAAAAAAATTATTAAATAATAAATAATTTATTTTTAATATTTAAAAAGACATACTTGCCCTCTCACTAGACATTGGTTTTGTTCTAAGACAAGGGTCAAATTCATATTTTCATGTACCCCAAAAAAAATAATAATAATAAGGAGAGGAAAATTTGGGGACAATAAATGTACCATAAGCCATCTTACCACGCTTGTGAATAAAATTAAAAAAAATTATTAAATAATAAATAATTTATTTTTAATATTTTAAATAACATATTTTATACCTAAAATTCATTCATATTATGATTTTTTTTTTTGAGAACGGTTGATGTGGAATTTAAACTCCATATTAATCAAGTTTTGTATAAAAAAAATTTATAAAAATATATAACGAAGAGATTCCCATTTATATTATTATTATTTTTTAATACAATTGTATAGTTAAAAAGATAAATCCCTTGAATGGGGACTTACTCTCAATTATAAAACAGTTATCTCACATCGATCCCATAAGATATATATGAAATTTTAAATAATTTTAAAATAATCAATTTTAGAATTATATTATATTTCGTCATTATACTATGCAAGTGTTTAAAAAAAAATACAATTTTATAATTGTATACTTGTGTAGTATGGACTTGTCTGACATTTTCAGGCCTTAATTAACCGCTATAATAGTTGGGCCAGGCTAGACATACGCTCTGCTGTTTGCTTATGAAATGATTATTAAATCTATAATGATGACATCTCTTGGCCCTTTTGCTGCCCTCTACACTTCTCTTCTTTATCCATCTTGTTTATTACTATCATATTTTTTTGATATTTTAGATGTATTATAAATAGCCAATAACATATAAATTTAATGATTTTTTTATTAAATATAAAAAATTTTAAATTTAAATCATATAACATAAAATAAAATAAAAAATAAAAAAATAACTCCTCATTTTGCAACTAATATAAAAAAATATATTGTAAATATAGCTGAGTGGTTAAGCCAAAAGGGTTGAATTTGAAACTTTCAGGGCTCGTTGGTTACCCCAGGAAAAAAAAAAAAGGAAAACCAAAAATCAACTCAGTTTGATATAGAAATATAATTTTTTAATATAAAAATTGAGATGTAAAATAATTGATTATAATATAAATATAACCAGCTATATTATCACTTTTTGGAGTAATTTTTAAAAATATTTTGTTTGAAAAGTGTGGTAGTTAATTATAAAAAAATAATTAATTATATTATTTATTATCACTCCAAAATTTTTTATAATCAATTAAAAACTTAACGTGCACCTCACTTTAAAAACTTAAAAACTTAATGGTATTAGTTATTAAACATGTTTATTCTTTTTTTTAGGTGGATTTTAAACTCATTTTATGTTAAAATGTTTAAAAAAAATTAAAAACTTAACGTAATCAATTATATTTTTATTAAAATTTTTAATTAAAAAATAACAAATTATTTTTAAAAAATAGAAAAAAAAATTCTAACGGATAAGGATGGAATGGAGTCATAGAGCGTCAAGCTTGCACTAATTTCAACGCGCTTTTGACGGAAAGGACAGCCTTGCAATAACTTCTCTTAATTCTCTCAGCTCGGCTCAACTACTCGGCTTATTCGGCTACACCCAGCTTTTTCGGTGGCATTACTGTAATAACAAGCCAAACGAAGGTTCTTGTTATATACATCTTCAATAAATACTCATCCTTTATCCTTATCTACTTATCCATTCAACTCTGCTCCATTTTCCGATTGACTGAAACAAAGGCTAGTGTCAATGGAAGTGATTTCTTCGACGTTGAATCCAAATGCTCCGGTATTCGTGCCATTGGCGTATCGGATGGTGGAGGATTTCTCAGAGCAATGGTGGTCCCTTGTCCACTCCTCCCCCTGTTTCCGCGACTATTGGCTCCGGGAACGCTTCTCCGATCCCGTTGATGACGACGAACCTGCCCTTCCCGACGATCTTGACGACGATAACTTCTTTCTTGATTCCAAGGGTAAGTCACTGAGTTAGCTCGCCGATTCACCTTACCAACTCGATCGTCACTCACCCTTATTAAAGTTTTCTCCTTTTTTGCTCAGATGAAGAGAAGGAGAGAGATTGTTACAAGGAATTGATACCCATTGGTGCACTGCAGTGGCGAAGGGGTCGAACAATGGTGGAATCGCCGCGGTATGTGGAGAAGGCGCCGAAGATTGTGAATGTGAAAGTGAGTCCAAAGACGATTCAACAGCCGAGGTAGACTCAAACTCGGTGTCCTTGAATCAACACCTTGCGGGGTTTCTTTGTAGAGATCCTCCGGTTTAGTTGCAGTTTATTCAAGTGTCATTTTTCTTACCTTTTTTTCTTTTTTTCTTTTTTTTTTTATTTTCTCCCTCTTGTAGCAATTTTTACGTTTTTGTACATAAGAGTTGGAAAGCAGGAAGGTTGTAATTTTCTACTTGATAAATGAAAAAATAAAGAAAATTTAACCTTTCCCAAGATCATGATCCATGACAAATCCTGCAAAATCTCTCTTTCTCCAAGCTTTTATCTAATTAGACATATAAAGAGAGTACAAGAAAGTAAAATCCTTTTACTTGCAATACAAACGGTAGCTGTTTCATGGGATAATGATGCAGAAGAAGCAGAGTCTGCTTTGTTCTTGGTGAATCTGTGTTGTCTCTGGCTAAAGAAGTGGGTAGTTATCATGCATGATCTCTTGGAGCTTAATGTGCCTGTAACATGATTCTTCGAATTAGTTCAAGCGTATGTTTTCATCTCCATCCCAAAGACTTGCTGTCTTTCGAATCTTCTGAAGAACTCTGATGACTTCCTCTGTGGTGACATTTCCGGTGACTCTGACCTTGTTGAGCTGAGTATCTACGTTGTATGTTTCAATATCTGCTTCTCAGAACAGCACCAGAAGACAAATGAAAGAAAATTTAATATCAACATAGAAAGCAGGATAAAGGGTAGAAGAAATCTGAAACCTTTCCGGCCTCTACCTTCTATCCTCTTGATGGCCTTCAGGATTTTCCTTATGCATTCCTCACAGTGCAAATTCACTTTCAGCTTCACTACCTGTTGTAAAATTGACAAAATTGAAATCTTTAATTCATCCCAAGTGCAATTCATCAAAAAGGGTGGTACCAAAATTGAAAATAAGATAATTGCCACTTACATTGGCCATGGTTTTGTAGCAAATGAAAGAAGGTGAAATCTGAGGGAGATTCTCCACTTTGTCACCAGTTAAAGAGGAAGGCGAAGAGGCATTCAATGGTGAGCAAAATGGATGATTAAAGCACATAAATATGCACTAGTGGTTGGATTCTTTGCTTCATTTATGGGTTGCTTTTGTTAAAAGCTTCTTTTATTCGTATGTAGATATGGAGAAAGGATCAGGAAGTTCGACTTCTATTCAGGATTATTCTTCTCTCATCATTTCATTTATGTACATAGGGAGAAATCAAGGTATGATGGTATTGGACTTTTTAGACACCATTCATTGTTGGCGGGGGCGTTTTAAGCAAGAGCTGTTTGCTCCTTTATCTCTCTTCTTTTCGGTTTCTCGAACAAGAATATGATATCTAAATTTTGATTTGATTAGTTCTGTTGATGGAAATGAAATTAAGAAATTCAATGTCAAAATCTACTTCAAAATTTGTAACTCCAAATTTTGACCCATCTCTGACTCGATTCATTCCTGTATCATGCAATTCCAATTTAGAACATTTTAATTTTATTTACCGAAACTATTTAGGTTGGTGGCTGAAAAGCACATTTTCTTTTCTTCTGGGCACAACATTTCGGTAACAAAAGCTGAGGAGAACCATAATGACCTGAAAAAATTTGGGCTTGATAACGCTGTGGTGGACCGAGTTTCCAATGGATGTTACAGGAGGGTCAAGTTTCAATTGGGCCAACAATTTAAGAGAAATCCAGCTCAAAAGGGCCTAAGCAATACGGATTACCTCCCACTTCGGCTCTTCCACCGCCGTTATCTCAGCGCCATCATTGGTTCAGCTTTCGCCCACGTCAAGATGGACTTCCATTTCCAAAAACTATGAGCCGAAAATGGCGACCACTGCCATAACGACTGCAACTCTAAAGCCCCTGACCCATCACATCTCCAACCCCACACCCAATTCACCACCATCTTTTTGTTCTGTCTCTTACTCTTCTCTTTCTCGTTCACCCCTTCCTGATGACACAAAACCGTTCATGAACCCAGAGTTTGCAGCCAAGAAGCGTCGATTCGACATGGGTTTTGGGTTTTGGGCAGCTTTGATTCTTGCCCTTTCACCATTCGATGCCAATGCAACAAGGATTGAAAACCCAGCCGC